CATAACATTGTATTAGTTTTAGGTGTACAACATAATGATTTGATATATTTATATATTGCAAAATGATTGCCACAATAAGTTTGGTTTATTGATTTTATTTGATATTGATTTTATTTACATACTATAAAATCCACCCTTTTAAAGTGTATAATTTAGTGATTTCTAGTATATTTACAATGTTGTGTAACCATCACCACTATCTAATTTGAGAATATTTCCAACCCTCCAAATAGAAGTCCTGTAACCATTAGGGGTTACTACCAATTCCTCCTTTCTCCCAATTCCTAGCGACCACTAAATGTACTTTCTGTGTCTATGAATTTGCCTTTCATTTCATATAAATGGAATCATGTAATATGTGCCTTTTGTGTCTGTCTTCTTTCACTTAGCATAATGTTTTCAAGGTTCATCTATGTTGTAGCACATATCAATATTTTGTTCCTTTTTATGGCTGAATAATATTTCATCCTAAGTATATATCATATTTTGTTTATTGGTTCATCAGTTGATGGATACTGGGGTTGTTTCAACCTTTCTGTTATTGTATATAGTGCTGCTATGAATATCCGTGTGCAAATTTTTTTTTAAATACCTGTTTTCAATTCTTCTGGATATATACCTGGGAGTGGAATTGCTAGATCATATGGTAGTTCTATGTGTAACTTATTGAGGTACTGCCAAATTTTTCCACAGTGGCTGTACTATTCTATATTCCAATGAGCAATATATAAGGGTTACAATTTCTCCACATCTTTACCATTTTCCATTTTAAAAACTATAGCCATCCTAGTGAATGTGGATTATTATATGGATGAACCTTGAAAACATTATGCTAAGTTGAAGAAGCCAGACACAAGAGACCATTGTTGTATGATTCTATTTATATGAAATATCCAGAATAGGCAAATCCTTAGAGACAGAAAGTAGAATTGTGGTTACTAGGGGATGTGGCGTGGGGAGAATGGGGAGTGTTTGTTTAATAGGCACAGCATTTATTTTTGGGGTGATGAAAATGTTCCAGAATTAGATAGTGATGGTTGCAAAACTTTGTGAAGATACTACAAATCATTATATTGTGCATTTTAAAAGGGTGAGTTTTATGATATATGAATTATATCTCAGCAAAAAAAAAGCACAGAGTCTCATTTTAGGCCTGCAGGTAAGATTTGATGTTTAAATTTGTAGCATTTCTCTCTTATTTTTGGCAGCATGCATACCATGTAGAGTCACAATGAAAAGTTGTGTAGTTTGTTGACTGAAAAGGCACACAGCCAAGGGTCTGAATGGGGGCTGGAATTAGCCCATATCCTGCTCTCTAACTTGTGTCCCCAAGCTTGGTGCTGCCCCAGCCCAGGGAAGGAATCACCATTTTACCATTTTGTAATTCAGGGGCCCAGAGGAGACATCTTACTTTGATTTGTCTTCTTGGAGAGGCCATAATTTACTACATTGCATAAAGATTGAATATTTTCTAGTGGAGATCCTAGTATGATGGATACTGCTTTCTTGTCCTGGAATTTGAACCATCTCACAACCTTTTACTCAGTCTAATAACCAGTTATAAAATACCCCTATAATTTTTCCAAAGGTCTGTTGACTGTAACTCACTCTCTGGTATAATTTCTATGTCAGGGTTTTTTAGCTGCAGGCAACAGAACTTGGTTCTGAGTAACTTAAGCAAAAATAGGGATTTTTGGAAGACTACTGGAGTTGATCAAAATCAAAGGAAGTGCTGAAAAACAAGGCCTCAAGGAGGTCAGGAACTAAGGAAGCTTGGAGTGTTTGGGTAGCAGAACCTCAGTGCTTGTAGTCTCCACTCAGGCTTTTAAATTCAGTCACAGAAAATCTGATTATTCCACTAAGAGGGATATTGTTTCTTATCAGAACACAGATCAGGAAAGAATGCTGGGCAAACCAAATAAAAGCTACCAATGGAGGTAAGAAAAAGATGGATGCCAACATCCAAGTGGAGATGTTGAGTAAGCCTTTAGATATATAAATGTAAGTCTCAGAGTGGAGGGCTAGACTGGGATAAACAATAAGAGGTTGTAAGGATGATAAAAATAATGGGCATGTTTGAAATTTCCCAGGAAGAGAGTAAGTGGCCATGCATCTCTCCAGCATCATTACCTGAGGGCAGGAACTCTTACTGTAACTGGAGAATTGTTTCTATGTTTTGGAGGACATGATATCCCTACTAATTGGGAAAAGTGTCCAGGGCATGGGAATATAACACTGTGCTGGGAACATTCCATCTCCTAAGAATGAGGTTTGTATGTGGAGATTTTAATGGAATGTAACTTCTTTCTGTCAGTTATAAGAAATGCCAGCTTATTTTTCCTCTCATAATTATTTATATTGCATTTTGTTCTGTGCTAAATGTTTTATGTATGTTGTCTTATTTAATCCTCACAACAAATTAGTGAAATCATTATTATCATCGTAATTTACAGATGGGTTACTGTAGTCTCAGAGTTTAAGCAATTTCCTCAAGGTCATATTGCTAGACAGCAGTGGAAATGGAATTTAAGTAAGGTCTATGTGAGTTAAAAGACATTTCTACCCCATATCAAATGATAAAGCAATGCCAATATTAGCTATAGTTTAGGATTATTGAGCCTTTGCTGTGTACCATGTAGTGTACTGAATACTTTATATGCATTATTTCATTTAATCTTCATAATAACCTTATAAGGAAAATACTGTTGTTATCCCTACTTAACAGTTGAGGAATCTGAGGCTTAGAGATGTTAACTCAATGGTTGTCACAGCATAAGTGGTAGAGTCAGGGCTTGAACCCTTCTGTTTGATTTCAAAGCCTGTGTGCTTCACCAATATACTCTCCCCTATCAAAAATAACTAAATGTTAGAATCATGGCACTCTTCTCTGGCTGTATATTAGAATCAATCACCTGGGGAACCTAAAAAAATCGATGCCAAACCTATCATCAAAGATTCTGATTTTAAAAAAAAGATTCTGATTTAATTTATCAGGAATGTAGACCAGGCCTGGGATTTTTTTTTTCAAAAAGCTTTTATTCATTCATTCAATTTATTTAATAAACATTTAATGTCTTTTGTATGCCAAACACTTTCTAGGCATTTACTTCCTAAGCAAGGTATATCAGTTAGCTGTCACCACAGTGATGCATAACAATGACTATAAAATCTTGGTGGCATGAAAAACTAAGAACTGATTAAGTGCTTATTCTCACACTTCTGGAGGCCAGCTGGGATTCAGCTGATTAGTCAGGGCTTTTTCAGACAACTCTGATTTAGGTTAGAATAACTACTTGCTTCAGGACTATGAGTAAACTCATGTGGCTCTGCTTCATGCATCTCTCCCCAGACCATTGGACTAGCTGGCACTTGTGTCTCTCATGGCTCATCTCACACCAGTGGTAGAATCACAAGAAGGGACATGACCAACTATGCAAGTATATTTCAAGCTCCTGCTTAAGTAACATCTGTGTACACTTCATTAGCCAAAGCAAGTCTCAAGGCTGAGCTCAAAGACAAGAGGTGGAAAAATAAGCCCCATTTCTGTTGTGTGGACTTGCAAAGTTCATGGCATAGGCTGAGAATTGGGACCAGTAAATAAACTTAAGTGGGAAAGAATGAAAATGAACACTGAGCATTATACATAAGAAAACTTTCAAATGTATTAGAAAGTGGTAAGTAGTATTGCAAACAAAATTCTGGAGGGTGGTATGAAGGTGATTTTAATGTGCAGCTAGGGCTGAGAACCACTGATCTTACAGTGTTCATCCTGGAAAGAAACCTGCACTAACAGTCCCTCAACCATTTTGAAAATAATAAAACAGACCCAGAAAGTAGAAGAATCTTACTTAAGGTCCATAGGTCGATAGTTACAGAAATGGAACTAGGGCTTCTATGTTTCCTAACGCTGTGGACTGTTTCTCTCGTACCACAGTATTCCGATCTATGGTCTTAGAATTCTTCCTTTATTAGTGGCACCAAAAATATGTTGTGGAAAGACACACTCATTCTTTTTTTATCTTGACCCTAGACATTAGAACTTGTACTCTCTAAATCCTGTGCTCCCTTAGTAACCCAATTCAGGGCCCAATTTCACATTTCTTATATTTGTACTGTCCAAAAGTTTACAGACATTCTATCCTCTTTTAGTTTTTTGCCTCTTCAAGTTGAAGACTGTTGGTTTTGATCTATCTTTGTGTGATCCCATAGTCCCACTCTAACAACCTACTTGGTTTATTGGGCCTTCTCTCTTCCCCAACTCTGTAATGCCTTGAGTAGTGTTCCTTGCGTTCCTTTTTACTCTGGGCTTCCACTAGGCCTTTCAGTCATCATTTCTGTTTTGGATTACAGTCTTCTTGATTTGCCAGGATGAACAGTCAAAAGAAAAGAAAAGATATGGAACCTGCTTGTACTTGGAGTTTATTGTCTGAACAGAAAGGTGAGTAACTGAATGAGGTAAGAAGAGGGTACAATGTAGGTAATCCTGTTCATTCTCTTTCTCCTACGTCTCCTCATGGACTTTGGGATTTTTTTTCCAAATCTTTAACGTTGTGTTGCCCATGTATAGGTGTGTGTATATTGAAATATTACATGGATACAGTATTTGCCTATTAATAATCTCTTTAAAATGTCTCCATATTTTTTATGTTTTCCAAAATGAGGAAAAAGAAAGAAAAGAGAAGAGGCAACTGTGGTTTCTACTGTTTTCCATGATTCCAAAAGCATTTATAATCCTAAAAGACTCTTAAGTCTCTCCCTTTACTGTAACCACAGATTTTCACAGGAGACAGCACAAAAGAGCAAAGAGTGAAGATTGCTGGAGTTCTTCCCCTTGTGGCTGATTCCTGAGCTCCAAGGAATATTTAGTTATGGGGAATAGAAACTGATTATCTTCAACAGACTACTCACTTGCCTGCCCATTTCTGTGACATTCTAATATCTGCCTCTCCAGACTCTGCTTCCTCCCATCCATCTAGTCATACCTTCTCCCAAGTCTAAGTCTCACTCTTGCTTTTAAAAGGTGTGCAAGTACTAAAAACCTATAGGAATGTGGAGGCTGTGTGTGTATGTGTATGTGCGTGTGCATGTGAACACATTCACATGTGCCTTCATTTGTGTATTTCTACCTATAAACCTATATATGTAAGTGTTTGGAATGAACGTATGTGTATATGTGTTCAAATTGTAGATCATTGTATGTATCCATCACACTAACATCAGCAATGCCTTATTCTTTCTCATTAACAAGTTAAGTTCAACAGAAGCTCCAACAGAGGCAATAGGCTAATGTTCAATGGAAAGCAAAATACCTAAAACAGTCACTTCAGATAATGTATGAGCCTTTAAGTTAATGCCTAAAATTTTTCTTACAGAGCATATAAATGTAAATGTTTATACCCTCAATATATATCTGAGAAGGTCTTACATTTTACTTTACATTGGACATTAGTTATAACTTTGTGGGTGAGTCAGAATAGATGTGAGATGACTTTCTTCCTTGTATTTCTGTCTGGGGAACAGCATGAATGGCTGTAGCAGTGTGGGTAAATTTTTGTATATTTCATGTTTTGATGTGAAGGTGTATTTGTGCTTCTGTTAATCTCAACTCTTTCCTCCCACAGCTGCTTCAAATTCTCAGGCTTCATTGTCATGGAAGGAGCTCATAGGTAGATGTCTTATCTCTTTTACTCTTTTTGTTTTGTGAAAAGTGCCTCCTATGAACCTGGCTTATCATCCCTATTCCACTCCTATTCTTGCCCTGTATTCATTGGGCAGCAGCCTTTTTTTTTTTTGGTAGTATCTATGAAGCTCCAAACTGTTATAACAAATAGGAATTTTATATCAGATAGAATAGGTAATGGAATACCAGGAGGACCTCTGATGGTGGTCAGGCACCAGATGTACAGAATTTTAGATGCACAGGCTAGAATAGACCTATCCAGTTCTGGAGTGATCTAAATTGAGGCCATTACGATAGTGGGCCAAATCAAGCCAGGGGCCTATTTTTATAAATAAAGTTTTAGTAGAACCATCCATGCCCATTCATTTACATATTATCTATGGCTACCTTCTAGCTAAGATGGCAGAATTGAGTAGCTGAAACAGAGACCCAAAAGCCTAAACTATTTATGGAATTTTACAGAAGAAATTTGCTAACAGTTATCTAGATCAGCATTCCCCAAAGCAGTTCTACAGAGCACTATTGTCCAGGAGAAAATAACTTTGCTTTTGGGAAAGGGTTATATAGTCATTTTAGACCAGAAAATGCTGGATTAAACCAAGTTAAACAGCCTTTTTTTTTTCTTTTTTTTACTATAGGTCATTTCAGATCCTTTCACATGCTACATGCGTTGAGAAACTCTAAAAGGAGATAGAGGGTGTATTCCCTTTAACTTATTTGACCACTGGACTTCTTTTCCACAGCTTTCTTACTAATACCTTGCAAAATCGTGTTCAAAGGAACACTTATTTGAGAAATGCTAACTTAGACATTCACTTGACAGAAGTTTGAACTTGATAACTGACTCCTTGGATTATTTTTCTAGTTGCATAAAGTGAAAAACTATGTAATATAGTATTTAAGCATATGGGACTATGGCTTTAGACAAACCTTAATCTTAAGTAAGTCTCTATCACTTACTAGCTGTTGAACTTTGGACAAATTATCTAATGCGATAAGCAGGACTGACTACATAATTGATGGGCTATGCTACAAAATGGAAACACAGGACCCCTTGTTCAAAAAATATTAAATCCAAGATAGCGACAGCAGAGCATTATACCAATGGGCCCTTCTGAGCACAAGACCTGTGTGCAGATTGTATATGCATGAACTTATAACCCTGGTAACAAATTTCAGTTTCCTCAACTATATAATGTGGATAATACCTACTTCATGGGATTATTGCAAGAATTCAATCAGAAATATGTATAAAGAGCCTAGTAAAATATCTGGCACAGAATAGGCAATAATAAATGACTTGTTTTTAATTCAAAAGTATTTATAGCCATATTCAATAACCTATTTGTTGAGTGTCTACTATGTGCCAGGCACCACACTAGGTACTTAGGATATTATGGTGAAGAATACAAATAAGGTCCCTGTCTTCATGTAGATTATTGTTTAGTGGGAAAGACAGATAAAAAATAAACAACTGTTAATTATGATAAGAGCTATAAAGTGAAAACAAGGTGCTGGGAAAGGAAATAATAGAGAGGATCTGCTTTAAATTGGGTGGTCAAGCAAGTCCTCTTCTAGGAAGTAATGTTTAAGTTGAGATCTGAAGGAAAAAAAAAAAAAAAAAAAGCTCTCCATGGAAATAGCAGAAAGGGTGTTCCAGGCAGAGAGAAAAGCTACTGGAAAGGCCCTGAAGTGGGAAAGAACATGGCATTTGTGAGAAACTAAAAGTAAGCTAGTGTGTCTTTAGGGACTGAGAAGGTGAGTGATTTGTGGCACACCTTGTAGGGTAAGGTTTTGGATTTTATACGAAGTGCAATGAAAAGCTTTTGAAAGGTTTCAGGTATGGTAGTCACATGATGTAATTGATATTTTTAGAAGATCATGTTGGCTGCTGTGTGGAGAGGAGCCATAGATAAGCTAGAGTAAATGAATAGTAGGAGTCTATTTCTTTCTCCAGGAAACAGTTAGTAGTACCTTGTATTTGGTTGGTATTTGAGAATGTAGTGATAAATAAGTGTATTGAAGGCTTATGATAGGCCTTGTTAATTGATTGAATGTGGAGGATTCAAGGGGAAAAAAGAAATAAAGAATGGCTCCTAATATTTTTCTGGGCAACTGGGTGACATCATTTAATTGAGATGACATGTCTGCGGAGGGTTTTTTTTGGGGGGGGGAGGGCACCCACACAGAAATCCAGAGCTCAGGTTTAGACATGTAAAATAAGATGTCCAAGTGGAGATGGTGATATTAGTTATAGCTGTTGTTTTGTATTGTTGTCTAGGATTCCGTGATTACTAACTCTTGGTGTCACCTCATTAGATTCCCGGGAAATATTTAGAAAACATCTGAAAGAAAAATACCTAAACATAGGAGTCCATAAATGTTATCATCATGGCAATCATATAGAGTCACGGCTGCTTCTTGTAAAAGAACATGGTATATCAGAAAAGACACCATGTGGGATTCCTCAACAAGATAATTTTATTGATATGGGACATGTATTTGATCCTGACCAAGAGGGCTGCAGCTCATCCCAAACTGTGGTGCTTCAGGGATGTGCTGGGATTGGGAAAACAGCTGTGGTGCACAAGTTCATGTTTGACTGGGCAGCAGGAATGGTTACTCCAGGAAGGTTTGACTATCTCATCTATATAAACTGCAGAGAAATAAGCCATATTGCTAACCTTAGTGCTGCTGACCTAATCACTAACACTTTTCAAGATATAGATGGACCAATCCTGGACGTTATTCTTGTGTATCCAGAGAAGCTTCTTTTCATACTTGATGGATTTCCTGAGCTCCAGCATCCTGTAGGTAACCTGGAAGAGGATCTTAGTGCTAACCCCCAGGAGCAGAAACCAGTCAGTAGAGACCCTCTTACGTAGTTTTGTGAGGAAAAAACTGTTCCCTGAATCCTCCCTGCTGATAACTGCCCGGCCTGCAACCATGAAGAAGCTCCACTCTCTGTTAAAACAATCTATCCAGGCCAAGATCATTTGGTTTACAAATGCTGAAAAGAGAGCATATTTCTTGAGTCAGTTTTCAGGTGCTAATGCAGCAATGAGAGTCTTTTATGAGCTGCAACAAAATCAAAGCCTTGACATTATGTCCTCTCTTCCCATCATCTCCTGGATGATCTGTAGTGTCCTGCAGTCACAGGAAGATGGTGACAGGAGTCTTATGAGGTCACTTCAGACCATGACTGATGTGTATCTGTTTTACTTTTCCAAGTGCCTCAAAACCCTTACAGGTATCTCAGTGTGGAAGGGACAAAGTTGTCTGTGGGGCCTTTGCTCTTTGGCTGCAGAGGGACTACAGAACCAACAGGTCCTATTTGAAGTCCGTGACCTCAGGAGACATGGGATAGGGGTATATGATATCAATTGCACTTTTCTAAATCACTTTTTGAAAAAATCTGAAGGAAGTGTCAATGTCTACACTTTCCTTCACTTCAGTTTCCAAGAGTTCTTGACTGCTGTGTTCTATGCCCTAAAGAATGACGGCAACTGGATGTTTTTTGATCAAGTGGGGAAAATGTGGCAAGAAATATTCCAACAATATGGGAAAGGGTTTTCATCATTAACGATACAGTTCTTGTTTGGCCTCTTATGTAAAGGAAAGGGAAAAGCTGTGGAAACTACTTTTGGAAGAAAAGTCTCCCCAGGACTTAGAGAGGAATTATTGAAGTGGACTGAGAAAGAAATAAAGGATAAATATTCTATGTTACAGATTGAGCCAATGGACTTATTTCATTGTTTGTATGAGATTCAGGAAGAAGAATATGCAGAAAAGATAATTGGTGATTTACAATCAATTATATTGCTTCAACCTACCTACACAAAAATGGACATTCTGGCTATGTCATTCTGTGTAAAAAGCAGTCACAGTCATCTGTCAGTGTCTCTGAAGTGTCAGCACCTAATTGGATTTGAGGAGGAAGAGCAAGCCTCTGCATTGACACCAGTCTTTACACTTAATCAGTGAGTATATTAATGTCTTTTCTCCAATGTTTTGGCCTTCAGAAATCATAGGCTTTCTTGTTTATTTCAAGTATTCAGGCACACGATCATTTCTGGTATTGTCAATAAATAAAATGAATCATCTCCACTTTCTATATTTTACGTCAATCAACCCAGTAAGGATTTATTCAATATATATCACATATTAGACACTAGACTAAGTAGACAGTAAGGGAACGTTAACAATTCTGAGCACTTATTATGTATTAGGCACTGTGCTAGCCACTGTGTGTGTGTATGTGTGTGTATATATATTAGTCTTCACTGTTACCTTGTGAATGTACTTTATAATTATAAAAGTGTTATGAGCATGTAAGTTATCAAGATTATCATTGAGGACTCTACTATTTTGGTGTTGATGACTGCTATTCTGGAAAAGGTGGTAAACTTAACATTGAATTGGTCATCACTCTCCTCTACATATACTTCATCACTGAGGCCTCAGAGAGCCTCAGGTTAGTAAGGGACAGAATTGTACTCCTGCATATATTGCTGTGAATCCTGGGCTTTTTCCACCAGGCTTCCACCTTCACAAAGGTTTCAAAGAGGCTTAGGTAAACCACTTATTTCATACAGATTCTGTATATTGCAAAATACAGTTCTATTGACTTATTGACCTGTGTTATCTAGAAAATGCCACTGGTCATAAGTCCGTTCTCAATACTTGGGTTAAGATGGACATTGCCACTCCTTTAGTTGTACGACCAGCTGAGAGGTAGGGGACCTTGAGAAGAAGAGAGTGGGCAGAAGGCTCTACTTAGGAAGTGTTAACGCGAGTCTTTTCTCTGATAGTTATATTTCCTCAGTGGGAGTAGCATAGAGGTAGAAATGAGTATGGGGTAGGTGTGTTTGAGGGAAGTGGGGAGGGGAAAGGAAGTGCAGCAAGAGTGTTTGGGACTAGAGTGGAAGGAGTAGGAGAGGTTACATGGACTTGGAATTACCAAGGACCTTGGCTACAATGTCTTGATAAATTCAAGACCACTTCAACTGTATATTATAAAGTAAAATGATGGATAAATGCATTGAGAACTTTTAAACACTGGTGGAAACAAAGAGAAGCTTCTGGTTCATTCTAGATTTCCAGAAAATCAGCCTTAAATGGAGTCCCTACCCCAGCCCTATTGCCTTTATCAGGGGGCTTAAACTTTCTTTAAAGCTTACCCCAAAATATTCTTTTCACAAGCATGTTGACAGAGAGTTCACTATTGTACTGTTTTAGGTTTATTTTGTTGTTCAAGTGTAATTAACATACAGTGTTATATTAATTTCAGGTGTACTATATAGTGATTCAGTGATTCTGTACATTTCTCAGTGCTTGTCAAGATAAGTGTGCTCTTCATCCCCTTTATTTATTTCACACATCTCCACCCACCTCCCCTCTGGCAACCACCAATTTGTTCTCTGTATTTAAGAGTCTGTTTATTTTTTGTCTCTCTTTTTTTTGTTCATTTGTTTTGTTTCTTAAATTCCACATATGAGTGAAATCATGTGATATTTGTCTTTCTTGGACTAATTTCTTTCACTTAGCATTATACCTTCTAGATCCATCTATGTTGTTGCAAAAGGCAAGATTTTATTCTTTTTTTATGGTGGAGTAATATTCCATTGTGTATGTATGTATATATATACATACATATATATATGCATTGTTTGTATATATATATATATAAATACACATACACACACATACATACACACACACACCACATCTCTATCCATTCATCTATTGATCTACACTTGAGTTGCTTTCATAATATGTCCATTGTAAATAATGCTGCAATAACCATAGGGGTGCATATATATTATCAAATTAGTGTTTTTGTTTTCTTTGGGTATTCCTCAAAAAATTAACATAGAATTATGTTTAACATATGAACATTTGAACTTTTCTAGTTCAAAACATATGAACTTTTCTAGTTTTTAATGATTAATTATTCTATTAATACTGACAACCAAAATATAGTTATAGTGTAGATAGCTTGGGCAACTCACTTGACTTCTCTGAGCCATCTGCAAAATGATGATTATGATATCCATCATTGTGTTAGGGACCAGATAAGATAATTTTATATGTAAAGTGCTTACCTTGGTGCCTGGCACACAGTAACATGGCTTGTGCTTTGAAGTCAGACAGATCTGAGTGCTGACCTCCATTCTATTCCTACCTATGTGACCTTAGGCAAATATCTTAACTTTTTTTTGCCTTAATTTCCTTATCTGCAAAATGGGATAATACCTCCTAAGGACTTTGGAAGAAGTAAATGAATACTAGTATGGTAAACAGAAGCCAAAGTAAGCCTTTTACTTAAAATTTTGTTCTTAACTGTTTTGTTTTAAATTATTTTTGCTTTCTCATCTTTTTTAGGTCCTTCAAGCTACACAATTTGCCAGTGTCTCGGCTACACTTGCTCTGCCAAGCACTACGTAATCCATGCTGTAAAATCAAAGACCTGAAGTAAGTTGAACTTTGCTTTAAACACTTAGGTATTTGTAAGGTATAAACTGGATTGCTAGAAATTGTACCCCCAGCTGATGGGACCTGCAAACAAAATATAACTAGTGCTCAGCTTCTCCATAGCAAAACAGCAAATGATAAGATAGGCTACAAACCTAGAAGGGGTAGAGAGTCAGGCACAGATCCCTGTCAGCCCCTCCAGCCTCTGTCCCTTTTGTATATGCTATTTTTGCTGTAGGGAGTTGATGGCAGTCTATAACATCTAAGAGATCTGTGTCTGTGCCCCTCCTGGACCTACCCTCTTCTCCTTCCAGATCCAACTGTCCTCTTCCTTGGTTTTCTTTCAGTTGGGTCCTGTCCCACTCCATGCAGCTCAGTGATCTTTTTCTCTCCCTCCATGCCTCACCTCAATCCCCTGCTGTTATTCCCCAAAGTGCCATTGCTCAGAAACTCCCCACCCACCACGCTGCCTTCCATTCTGTGCTCACTCTCAGGTATCTTGTCTCCTTCACTCCACATCTCAAGCACACAGGCACGAGCTCCCTTGTTTCCAGACCCCTCACCACACAGATCAGTGTCTGTTCTCCTTCCTTCCCTCCTGTCCTAGAGGAAGAGGTGGCCTTTCCAAACCTCCCCAAGCAAGTAAATTCACTTTTTTTTTATTTTTAAGCATTTAATTATTTCACTTTACACAACACAGAAGTATATAAAGATATAAAAGCCCTCCACCCTACTGTCCCATACCCCACCCCACCTTATACCCCAACATCCCCACTCCTGCTTACCATGCCCTGACCATACCTCCCTAGGTAACACCTTGTTTGCTAAATATCTTTCCAGACCTTTTTTTCTATGCCTTTTCAAACATCAATGTGTAACATAAGGCACATATAAACCTAATATATATATATATATATATATATATATATATATATATCTCCTGCATATGCAGTTACAGAGCTTTGGGGGTTTTGTTTCACACACAAAAAAAACTGGCTGTCATATTTTATTTTTTATTGAATAGTACAATGGACATGCCTCCCAATGTGGTAAGCAGGGTCTCTCTCTTGTGTGTTGCATGTTTTCAAGCTTTCTTCAGTTGTCTCCTTCCCCGTGGTTCAAATTTCTCCCATATTAAAAGGAACCCTCTCTCAGCCATGTACCCCATTCCTTCCCTTTACTGCTAGGAGTTCTTGAAGAGCCCCCCTGCCTGCACTTCCTCAATTCCCATTTACTCCTCAGTCTTTGTGGTTTGGGTTCTACCCCTCCCTGGCCCAGATCTGTTCAAAGATCGAAATAATACCAAATCCAATGAATACTTTTCAGTTCCTACCTTAGGGCCTCCCCTGCAGCCCTGGGCACTGCTGAGAATGCTCTCCTTGCATCTCTCTTCCCACTGTCATGACTACTCCTAAGGACCTTGTCGCCTCTATGGTTCCCAGCCAGTGGCAGTTTCACCCTCCAGTGGACGTGTGGCAATACCTGGAGACATTTTTGCTTGTCACAACTTGGGGAGTGGGTGCTACTGACCTCTAATGTGCAGAGGTCAGGGATTCTGTCAAACATCCCGCAGTGTACTAGACAGCCCCCTGCAACAATTATTCAAGGTTCAAGAATTATTGAACCTCAAGTGTGAGGAGTGCTGAGGCTGGGAAACTCTGTCTTAGATGAATATAAACAAGCCCAAAGATATTCCTGAAAATGCAGGTTAGGGATCTTGCCCCCAATCCTGATGGTTGTCCACACCTGCCCCAATAGGAGACAGCCCAAAGTCCTATCCAGGAGCTATGGCGATGAACCGGGGCCGTTATAGCTTCAGGCTCTATGTCTGTAGTCCCTGGGTGATGTCCAGGGCTCCTCCAGTTTTCTTACTCTGGTCCAGGTGTGACACCTCACGATCCTTCTACCTATGGGCTAATCCATACATTTAGTCTCCCTCAACACCACTTAGAATCATGAGAAAGGAAACACAAACCATCCTCTCCCCTTCTCTTTTCCCAGTTTACCCCCTCCCTCTAGACATTGATTTCCCATTGGGATATGTTTTATTTCATTTATGAATTCACTGAGACCTTTGTAACCAGATCCCCCCTCCCACTATTATTCTGGCAGTGGGTTTGGGGAGAGAATTGCTCAGGATAGCACCACACTTTGGTCCATAAACTAGACCAGCAAACCCTCTAGGCACTATCATTTGCTGACTCACCTCCTTGGAAGTGGTAGGGGTTCCCTGTTCAGATCTGTCTGTCCCCAGTTCTGCCACTGGGGACTGGGGAAGATTCTCATGTTTTGGGGCTATACAGCCATAGCAGTTGTCTGCATCTGGTGCTGGTGTCCTCTGTATGTCCTGCTGGTGATTTCATCAGTCCTGAGGGATTTCATCTTAGGGGTGGCAAATCTCTGCTGTGTTGTAAGCCCAGGGTTAATCCCAGGCCTGTTTTGATGGTTTCTCATGATATAACTTGATCAGAACATGAACAAGCTTCCTGTCCAGTTCATTCCGGGATACTCTTGGGATATAGGAATCCTCACTACCTGTAACTCTCTGATACTCCTCCCCAGCCAGTGTTGACATTTTTCTTGGATGATCTGTGGTTTGTGACTGCTCTTCTTGGTGCCAATTTCTGACCTGGAAATAATCTGGTTACCCAGAGCAGGAACCCACTCAACTTAACTTAAAGGGTATCTGTGTGGATTGGATTTTCATGCAGCACAACTGTAGAAAGACCACCACTGTCTCCATCTCTGGGGTTACAAGATCAACTCCTGTGCTTTCTCTATGCCTTATCTGCTCCCTGGGATCTGATTCTGCTATCTTCTAAGACACTTGGCTTCTATAAAGCACACAGTTCTTCTCTCTGACAGCCAGGGCCAGTCCTTGGCTGTGGCCTCGGCATTCATGACTCTGGCCTTGGCCCCAACTCCAAATAACCCACTGCTTCCTTGCCCAACACCACTCTATGAAATCTGCCTCTCTGTTCGAGAACCTGTTTGGCTAAGGATGGGTCAGATGTCCACTCCTCCCATCATATACAGCCTAGGTGGGGAGATGGGTGGATTGTCATATACATGGCTGCTCATGTCCACTAGATACTAGGGCTTAGGAGTAAGAACAAAAGCTACGGTGCTTCTGGGGTATGGAACACTAATGCTCTGGAACACAAAGGGGGTCATCAAAACATGTCTCTCCCTGTCAATCTACACCTTCTCCACTTCCCACCCCACCTCCCTCCCATTCCTTTAGCCCCATTCTCCCACTTATCCCCTTCCCCACTCCACCCAGTCCCCTCCCTCACCTTTCCCCCATCCCTCAAAAATTGATTTTCCACTGGTATAGGTTTCTGTTCTATTCGACATTTCTTAATTTACTGAGGTCTTTGCAGCCAGATTCCCCTCCCACAGCGGAAGCAAACTTCCCTCCTTGAAAAATTCACAGCTTTACACCAAGGGCAGTCCCAATCCCCAGGTCTGCGAAATATGGGAGATCTTCTAGGCTGATAGGGACCAGAGTCTCTCCTGTCTCTTTGGGATTCTTGAGGGTCTTTTCCCTGGGACCCCACATTAGATCTCACACTAACCTCAGAGGGCCTCCAGTGGGGAGATGTCTGAACTGGATTTCCTACGGTGAATGGTGTTGCTGGTGGGACTGGTGTGGGCGCAGGTGGGAAGGGGGAAAAGGGACAGGCGTAGGAGTATGTGAATGAGGCAGGGAGGTGGACAGGAAGGGGTGATGGTGTGACTGTGGCCATAGGCTTGATGGTCCCAGAGAAATAAAACATGGCTGTTTCCACTGACTTAATATCTCCCTTCCTCTGCCCACTGGCGGTGTAATTTTTCCGCTCCACAGCTCCAGGCAGGTGCATGAGGCCTCCACCTGGCTCCTTTGCAGCTTCTGCCCCTTCTGCATTCTTCTGTCCTCTTCCTCTTCCTGCAGTGCCAGTAGAAGCAGTAGAAGTGGCAGCAACTCCTGCCTCCTCTACCTCACCTGCTCCTTCTGTCCTTGTGGCCAGGCCTGGCTCCTCTGAGACCTGGACCTGCTTCTGCAGAGACTGCAGCTGTGGGAGAAAAGTGGGCAGTGTTGAGACCCATTCTGGGGGTGGTGAGGGGATGGGGCAGGGAGATAGGGCAGGGATCAAGCAGAGATAATCTTTAAGACCTGGAGGAGCTTCCACTTCAGGAAATCCCGTTCCATCTGCACCTCTTCCAGGTTGGCCTGGGCCATCTGTAGCTGGAAGGCTGCCTCTTGGTGCTCCATCTCCTGCTGTGTAGTGAACTCCTTTAGGTCTGAGGCCAAGGTCTGTGCAGTGGTCTTATGCAGTTTGGCGAAGTCATGCAGCCAGTGTACCATGTGCTTGTGTAACTGGCCCTGCCTGCAGGCAAAGCGCACACCTAGGGCCAGGCTGCTCCAGGCACAGGCCTCTTTGGCCTCACTGGACACTGTGCTGTCTTCCAGGATGGCCCTGAGTTTGTCCTCCACCTCCTCCCAGGGCAAGGATGTATTCTCCAGGTAGAACTCTGGGCCTTTTGTGTGCCCAGCCATCTTCTCATTGATGAAGGTTACTACTTTGCTGTGCTGGAACCCACCACTGGGGTCGTCGGGTTTCAAGGCCATGATGACTGAGAACCTTAGGGGTTTGGCTGGCCCTGCAGAAACGAACAAACCAGTTGTCCCGTAGACCCCCCTTGCCCCTCTCCCCTTGTCCCCCTTCCCCTCCCTCTTTATCCCCCTTCCCCTCCTCCCATCCAGCCTTGCCCCCCTCCTCCCCCTTGCCCCCCTCCTTCCCCGTCCTGCCCTCTTGTCCCCCTGCCCCCTCTGTCCCACTCCCTCATCCTACCCCCTCCCCTGACCCGCCACCTCGTCCCTACCCCACCCTGCTTCCCCATCCCGCTGCCCCCCCCGTCCTGACCCCTTATCCCCCCCTGCCCCCATCCCACCCCCTCCCCCATCCTGCCACATTGTCCCCACACACCCACCCCACCTCCGCCTCCCTTGTCTGGTCCCCTTGTCCCCCTTTCTCCAGTCCTGCCCTCTTGTCCCCTTCCCCACCCCGCGTTTCCAACCATCTGTTTGCCCTGCCCCTCCTCCCTCAGACCCTCTGAAAGGTCCACTGACTGGTTTGCCCCACCCTAGTACACCTCCAGCCGGGGCCAGATGGGGTGCAGGCTGACCATACCTAACCATACCTACCTAATAAGTCCAAGCAAGAGGGTACTTTTACCTCCAAGGGCTTGAGAAAAAGGAAGTCTTGGGGCCAATTCTGGAATCTTTTACTCTGGGACTGTTCCAACTTCCAGTGATAGTGGGGGTGGGAGGGAATGTGAGAGGAAGGTTTTGTCCCAACTCCAGGACATAAGAGGACCTGCTATATTGTTGAAAGTCCTTGAAAGCCGGAAATAGCAGGAGTGGTCAGAAAAGACTTAGAATCAAGAACGTAAAGGACTTGTAATCAAATACAAGAAGTTATGCCCACCCCACCATAATGCTTTGTCCCACACCAGGGGGCCCATCCCTCCTAGAGATGGAATTTTCTAGAACAAGAGGCAGCCCCAATCCCCCAGTGGCCTTCTGAATGCCTTGGAGGAAGAATGTGGAGCTAGGGAACAGCTTCATTGCCCATTGGCCCAGCACTGAATATTGTAGTGACCCTAAATGGTCATAAATCTTGGCTGCTTCACCCCCAAACCATGTCTTGAATCTGTCCACCTTTGCTGCCCCCACCATCCTAGGTCAGCTACCCCTACCCTATTTCTTCCCTGGACTGCAGCCCTCTGATATCTGGTCTGTCTCCTGCTTCCTGGCATTAGAGGGATATGACCATCTCACTTTAAATCTCCACTGACTTTCCGAAGCCTTCTGTATAAATCAGACAGACTTCAGGTTTAGTCCTGAAGTCCTTTGCCACTTACTATATGACTTTCTGCTGTAAATGAATCTTAGTTTCTATCAATGGGCCTACTGCAAGGACAAATGACAAAGTACATTGTAAACTTGATGTATTTTTTTCTATGATCACATTTTTGTAAAATAAAATCTGTGTGTGTGTCTGTATGTTTCTATGATCTTGGAGAAAGGAGTGGGAGGGTATACACCAGACTCTTAACATTGGTTATCTCTGGGAGGTGGAATTGGAGAGGAGGTTTGGAAAAAGGTTTTATCTTTTTTAAAAAATTTTTTTGACATTTATTCATTTTTGAGAGAGAGAAAGGCAGTGTGAGCAGGGGAGGGGCCGAGAGAGAGAGGGAAACACAGAATCAAAGCAGGCTCCAGGCTCTGAGCTGTCAGCACAGAGCCTGATGTAGGGCTTGGACCCATGAAACGGGAGATCATGACCTGAGCCAAAGTCGGATGCTTAACTGACTGAGCCACCCAGGTGCCCCAAAAAAGTTTTTATCTTTTTAAAATACAGCTTCCTATGATTTCACTTGTTACAAAGAACATATGTATGCATGCATTAAAAACCTGGAAATTCGTGTGCCAAAATTTTAACAGTGGTTATTTTGGGGTGATAGGAATATAGTACTTAAAAAAACTTTATTCTTTACGTTTTTCTCTAGCATAGAAATTGTTTATAGTAAGCATATATTATGTTTTTAAATTTTTAACTACTCTTTGATAACTTATGATCATTGTAAATACATTTTAAATACCTATAAAGTAAATGTCTCCCTGTAATCTCACCCTTTCCCAACCTAGAAGATAACCACTGTTAATAATTTGATATATATATGTGTGTGTGTGTGTGTGTGTGTGTGTGTGTGTGTGTATATATATATATATATATATATATACACATATATACCCTTCTAGTCTTTTTTTTAATGTTTATTTACTTTTGAGAGAGAGAGTGTGAGTGGGGGAGGAGCAGAGAGAGAGGGAGACACAGAAACTGAAGCAGGCTCTAGGCTCTGAGCTGTCAGCACAGAACCCGATACGGGGCTCGAACCCACGAACTGTGAGATCGTGACCTGAGCTGAAATTGGACGCTTACCGACTGAGCCACCCAGGCGCCCCTGTCCTTCTAGTCTTTTAAAATAGGCCATAGCAAATACAATTGACCCTTGAACAACAGGGAGTTTGAACTGTGGAGGTCCACTTATATGTGGATTTTTTTTTAAATAAATTCAGAGTAGTACTATAAATGTATTTTCTCTTATGATTTTCTTAGTAACATTTTCTTTTATCTAGTTTACTTTATTGTAAGAATATAGTATGTAATATATATAACATACAAATACATGTTAATTGATTATTGTTAAGGTTTCTGGTCAATAATAGGCTATTAGTAGTTAAGTTTTGGGAGAGTCAAAAGTTGTAGTCAAAAGTTTTCAACTCTGTGGAGGTTGAAGCCCCTAATCCCCTGAGTTGTTCAAGGGTCAGCTGTAATTGGAAGTTTCTCAAACAAAACATCCTCTGTCTTGTCTCTGGCCTTTGCATCTCTTGGCCTTTGCACTGGCTGCTCCATGAGTGGATTGTCCCTCAGCCCCTCCTCTTCCTCCTGCTTCCATTCTCTTCATCCAGCTGTTCAATTTCTCTTCCCCTTTCACAACAGCACTCAAGTATTTATTTTTTTATAAATATTTCTTGATCCTCCAAGCCCCACCCCAAGCTAGGTTGAATTGTACTACCTTTCTGTGTCCCCATGATACCTTATGCATACCACTTGAAGTTCTTTTCACACTGTATCCATGATTTTCTAATTTTTTTGCCCCATTAACTGGACATTCTTGAAGGCCAAGTTGGGGTCTTAATTATTTTTGTGTTTTTAGCATTTGGCACAGTGGTAAGCACCCAATAAATTGTTGAGTGGATTGAAAAAATTCATTACATCAGTAAGGTACAAACAGGTACCTTTAAGGGGAGTCCTATTTTCTTTCTTCTCTGAAATATCTTTTTCTCCACACAGACTGATTTTCTGCCACCTCACAGCTTCTTGTGGTAGGGACCTCTCTTTAGTATTTGAAACTAACCAGTATTTGACAGATTTGGAATTTGTAAAAAATACCTTGGAAGATTCAGGAATGAGGCTTCTGTGTGAAGGATTAAAGCAGCCAAACTGTGTCTTACAGACATTGAGGTAACTGATAGCAGGAGATTTTGTTTTCTCTGTTCATATCATTTTTTGTCAATTTCTGTTTGCATGTGGGGAGAGCATGAACAAGATGATGAGGTCATTCTTCTTTTCTCTGAAGGTTGTACCGATGCCTTATATCTCCTGCTTCTTGTGGGGCACTAGCAGCTGTTCTCAGCACCAGTCAGTGGCTCACTGATCTGGAATTTAGGGAAACAAAATTGGAAGCTTCAGCTCTGAAATTGCTCTGTGAAGGCTTAAAAGATCCAAATTGCAAATTACAGAAGCTCAAGTAAGTTGTAACTGTTAGTTTCCTTACTGCAAGAAAATAATTTAAATATGCAACTCAAAATGGACATTTTGTGATCAAAACATTTCAAAGAGTCATGGAGAGGAAGAATAAAAAGTGACAGTCCCTAAAATTGTTTCTATGCAACAAGTTTAGGAAGAGAATTTTCATTGTAAGTAACAATAACATCAATGACTATAATAATAACCCACACTTATTGAACAGTTACTTTTTGCTAACCATTGTGCTGAGTGCTTTGTATCCACTATTTCCTTTAATTATTATCCCCATTTTAGCAGATGAGGAACTGGAGACCTAAGATCATAAGACTAAATAACATGGTAAAGGCACAATTCAAAACTGACATGTGTTTGACTTCAAAGTCCATGGTAATGATTTTAATAAAAAATTTATCATATACATGTTAGGGTTCTCTACAGAAACAGAACAAATAAGATATATACAAAATATGCAATTGACTCTTGAGCAATATGGAGGTTGGGGTGCCACTCCTACCCCCGCCAGTTGAAAATCCACATAGAACTTTTGACCTTCCAAAAACTTAACTACAAATAGCCTACTGTTGACTGGAAGCCTTATTGATAACATGAACAGTCAACTAACACATTCTGTATATATATATTATATGCTGTATTAAAACAAAGTAAGCTAGAGGAAAGAAAATGTTAAGAAAATCATAAGAGAAAAATACGTTTACAGTACTATACTGTATTTATCAAAAATTCGTGTTTAAGTGAACTTGTGCAGTTCAAACCTGTGTTGTTCAAGGGTCAACTGTATAGAGAGATTTATTCTAAGGAATTGGTTCATGTGGATTATGGTGGCTGTCAAGTTCAATATCTGCAAGGTAGGTCAGTAGGCTAGAGACACAAGGAAGAGCCGACGTTGCAGCTTAAGTCTGAAGGCATTCTCCTGGGAGAATTCTGTCTTCTTCCCAAGGAGGTCAGTCTTTTTCTAGAAAACCTTTCAACTGATTAGATGGGGCCCATCCAAACTATGGAGGGTAAATTACTTTACTCAAAGTCTACTGATTTCAATACTAATCTCATATAAAAAGGACCTTTCCAAATACATCTAGAATAATGTTTGACCAAATGTCTGGACATATGACCCAGCCAACTTGAGGCATAAAATTAACTATCATAATATATATGTGGGTTTTTTAAGGCAAAACTTCTTTAGCATTGAAGCTTTAAAAAATCCACTTTGAAACTTTTTTTTTCTGGCAGAATGCCTCTATTTAAAATTTCTAAATTGGGGAGATACAGACATGTGTACTTACAAGCCCTCCTTCAAAGCTAAGGTTGGAGCCTGGTAACTCAAGAGAAAATTGAGGACTCAAAAATTGTAGTGTATATCATAGAAATTTTTTTAAATGTTGGAAGAAAAAGTTGATGGGAAATAGTTCAAGAAATTGAAGTACTTAATATGGAGAAACAAAGATTTAGAAGACAGGAAGGTTGGTAAAAACCACTCTTCATCCCAAACAAGGAATATCATGTGGAGGATAATGATGGGCTGGGTCTCTGTAAGGATGGAATATTAATTAATAATGGACTTAAAATTTTTTTATGTTTCTTTATTTTTGAGAGAGAGAGAGGCAGAATGTGAGCAGGGGAGAGGCAAAGAGAGAAGGAGACACAGAATCCAAAGCAGGCTCCAGGGCCCCAGCTGTCAGCACAGAGTCTGACACAGGGCTCAAACCCACGAGCCATGAAATCATGACCTGAGCCAATGTTGGATGCTTAACCGACTGAGCCACTCGGGCACCCCAATAATGGACTTTTAGATAAGAGGCAAGATCTTTTGACTATGAAGCTTATTAAGGATATTATAGTACCCCCCCCCCGGGATTTGAGAGAAACTGTAAGATAGAATTATAAATTCATGCAGGGAGTTAAAATAAGATTAGGTTGCCTTGATATTTCCTCCCAATACTTTTTTTTGAGGGGCAGCCAACACTTACTGAATTCCTACTGGGGGACACAGTATTGTGGGAGCAATGTATAACTCTTTCCTCTGGAGGTTGTGACATACTCAAGGTTGGCAGTCTTGTATGGGTGGGCCTTTATTTTCTCTGCTCATGAGGTATTGTGGCAGGGGGTGAGTAGGATGGTAAAACAGCCAGTTTTATCTCTGTTCATCTTTCTTTCTCTCCAGGTTGTGTGCTAGCTTTCTCCCTGAAAGCTCAGAGGTTGTTTGCAACTATCTTGCCTCTGTTCTCATTTGCAATTCAAACCTCACTGAGCTTGACCTGAGTGAAAATCCCCTGGGGGATACAGGGGTGAAGTATCTTTGTGAAGGTCTCAGACATTCCAACTGTAAAGTGGAGAAACTAGAGTAAGTTTCTTAGAACTGTCTGGTAGCATCTTATGACTATTGAATTTGTCAAGTGCCTGCTGTGTGCCAAGATCTATGCTTGATGCTTGGCAGAAGTTATTTCATCTAATTCACTCTTTCCAATAACCTTAAAAAATGGATTTGTATTTCCATTGTACAGATGAGGAAATTGAAGATCACAGGGAAAAGTGATTTGTCCAAAGTCACAGCACGCGAAAGTGGTATAGTCAGGATGTGACTCCAAAATCTGTCTCCAAATCTCATGGTCTTTCCATTATATCACCATCTTGGATGCTTACAGGAATGCCACTACTTAAATATTAATTCTATAAAGAACACCTACTATGCACCCAACACTGGACTAGATGTAGGTAGTTTTGTCAGAAGGACAAGTGACAAGGCTGCCCTTAAGGGCACACAGATATGAAACAATTGGAGAACAACACAGTTCATTCAATGTGTAATGAAGTGCCCAACCTGTGGAATCATTTAGAAATGCCAGATGAGCCCAGGGAAAGGTAGGAGGTCCCTATGAGCTGGAGACCTCAGGAGGAGTCTTTGTGAAGGAGCTGCACTAGGAGCTGGAACTTGAAGGATGGCTAGAACTTAGTTATATGGGGAGGCTAGGAAAAGCTAAATGCAGCAGTGGCTGATTTTTCTTCTTTTTCTCTTGGTAGCTTGAGCACATGTTACCTAACAGATGCTAGCTGTATGGAGCTCTCTTCTTTCTTGCAAGTGAGTCAGACTCTAAAAGAGTTGTTTGTGTTCGCCAATACCCTAGGGGACATAGGAGTACAGCATCTCTGTGAAGGTCTGCAGCATGCACAGGGTATAATCGAGAGTCTTGGGTAAGTGTCTACTTATCCTTGTTCTCATGGGCCTTGGCATTTGAAGTTCAGTGGGACTCTATGGTTAACAGCCACCTTGGTATCCCCATTCCTCCAGGCTTTCCCAGTGTTCCCTTTCTGCGGCTTGTTGTGAGTCCCTCGCCCAAGTCCTGAGCTCCACCCGGAGCCTGACAAGGCTGCTTCTAATTAATAACAAAATTGAAGATTTGGGACTGAAATGGCTGTGCAAAGGATTAAAACAGCCTGACTGTCAGTTAAAGGATCTGGCGTAAGTATCATGGACTATAGCCACAGGCTGAGTTTCCTGATGTTTCAGCAACTCTTAAAATTAAATGAGTATTTTTTGGCCTGGTGATTGAATCTCCAAGGAAGCAATAATTGAAGATCCAAATAATTCGGGGGGGAATAAATGTTTCTCTACTCCACAATCTCCGCTTGGACCTGGCCCAGGGGATTTTTTTTTACACAACACTCTGAGTTTCTAATGTGTTTTTCCAGTGGGCAAATAGAATTTCTAAAGTGACTCAGTGCAGATGAAATGATGCCAGCCTTCTCTACCTTACTTCCCGGCAGACTGTGGACCTGCCACCTGACTGGAGAGTGTTGTCAGGATTTGTGCAATGCACTCTACACCAATGAGTACCTGAGAGACCTTGACCTCAGTGATAATGCCTTAGGGGATGAGGGTATGCAGGTGCTGTGCGAAGGGCTGAAACACCCCTCCTGTAAACTACAGACCTTGTGGTAAGTGCACAGGGACCCTTTATTCACCAGGCTCTTGTTCCAGGCTATACATGAAATGGAGGGTCTTTTTGGAACTTGGGATAAAACTGATTTCTTCCTCAAATCCCTAATCCTCCTTAGGTTAGCAGAATGTCATCTCACAGATGCGTGCTGTGGAGCCCTTGCCTCTGTCCTCAACAGAAATGAGAACCTGACACTGCTAGACCTAAGTGGAAATGACCTCAAGGATTTTGGAGTGCAAATGCTGTGTGATGCACTGATTCAGCCAATATGTAAACTACAGACATTCTAGTAAGTTAATGTGGTAGGAGAAGTGGGAGGGAGGGGGTCAAGGCAGACATGTTGGGTTTGACCATAGGCTACTGCAGTGGGGAAAGAAGAACTGAGAGCAAGCCATGCCGAGGCAAAATATCAAAGGAAGTGAAATTACCAGTAGGCCTCCTCCTTGGACACGGGGCCAAAGAGAGAGGCAGAGAACAGGCAGCACTGGATCTCACTGCTAAGAAAAGCATCATGGTGTAGGAAAAAGAGTATCAGATTAGATTCTTTTAGGTCTGGCTTAAATACTAGGTTTAGCATCTACTAGCTACATACCCATGGTTACCTAACCTCCCTGCACTTAAGTATCCTTGTCTGTAAAATGGAGCTAATACTAGTACTTGACTATCTGGTGTTGACATGGGGATTGAATGAAGTGAAACATTAATTATAAATGCACCCAGTATAACCTTTGGCACATAGATGGTGCTCCATAAATGTTAGATTCTTTCCATTTTCTCTTCTAATACTTGCTAGAGGTCTTAATGTTTACATTTGAGAGTCTTCAAGACTCAAGGAAATGAAGCTATAATGACGCAATGATAGGAAGTAGAGGTCTTGACCCTTTCTGGTCAATGTCCATCTGCCAGCTCAGCAGGCTGGCATTGACACACAAAGTCATTCTTAATTAGGATACAGCTATGCTGTGTTGGCAGCTAACCAGTGACCAAACGGCCATTCATTTCTGGAATTCAGAACTGGAACACATAATGGAAAATAAAGGCTGAGTGCAAAAATTCCACATTCAAGGCCAATTTGATGGATTGAAGCATAAATGCAAACAACATAAAGGCCTGATTACAAGTATGGCTGAAACAGAAGCTGGTTCTCTACTAGCAAAGTGAAGTATGTTAGTTTCAAAGGCTTGAAAGTGTGGTGATTACTGCCCAGAAAGGGGGAGTTACTCACAACATGATAAGCGTCAGGGATTTAGGGACCTTCAATGGTGTCTTTCTCAAAAGAAATAACTGCAGCCTATATTGTTAGCAGGTTGGAATAAGCTTAATGACCAATCCTAATGTTTCTTTAAATATTGAGTAATTTGATGTGGTAGCATTCTATATTGTGTGTGCTTCAGCAATGGTCCTAAGTGACAGCAAGGAGAATTTTTTTTTTGTTGTCATGGCATGCCATTATTTGCTTTTTTATTGTAAATTGTTATGCTGTTTCCTGTATCTCTTGCTCTTTGCCTTTTAACCAATGTGCTTCCATTGTGTTTTCATGCCAGCCTTCAAACCTTTATAACTTGTCAATCAATAAGTTGATAACAGTGGGCAATAATAGCTCAGAATACAAAACAAAGGACACACACACGCACACACACACACATACACACACACACAGAATAGACACCATTCACTGACCTCAAATCAGTTTTGAATGTTAGAGTATATATAAAACAAACAACACTGAAATTAATAGAAATATATACTTATCCACGTAAGGTGAGAGGAAACTATGGATGATTTAATGCTGTGGTAGGATAGAGATGGAGTAAATCCAGGAGAGCCTTCTAAAAGGGGGAAATTCTGCTGGAAATTGCAAAGGCTGGAGGAAAAAGGTTATTTTCTAAGAGCTGCTTGAGTGTGAGGCTGAATCTTATTCCTCATTGTATTCTCCCCCTGTCCCAATAAAAAGTTCCTGGCTCATTGCTTTGCATATAGTAAATACATACAGAAGATCAATTAGTAATTTAGAGCATCTAGAGGCAAAGAGACACTTAATGATATATCCAATAAAGACTATGTGTCTAGACATTCAAAAGGTCAAGGAATAAAAGAGATTGTGGCCTCAGAGGAGAGAGCTCACCTTCATTCATTCTACCAGTACTTGCTGAATATGTGCCATGTACCAGGCAAGTGTGCCAGGTGCTAGGAGACAAGAGTGAATAAGACAGGAGACATGATCTGTGCTCTTCAGGGGCCAGTGGGCTTAGTGGTAGAGACAGGCACATAAACTGAATAATGCAATAAGGGGATCGTAAGGTCTTGAGGGAGTCATGGCAGGAGACAACCCACCCAGTCCAAGACGGGCAGGGAAAAATTCTTGGAGGAAGGACCACCTGAGTTAAGTTTCAGGACTATTGCCAAGAGAAATAGTGGTAAGGATGGAGAAGGGTAGTCCAAGCTCAGGAGATGCATGAGCAAGATAGCCAGACAATAAACAGTACAGTTTATGGTACTTGATAGGGAAATGGGTGGGAAATATCCAAGGAGTTTGCTATTTCTGGAGCATAAAGTACAAAGCAGAATGTGTCAAGAAGTGAGACTGAGGGGGTAGGTAAGCCCTGTATGCCATATGTGATTAGTAAGACCTGTTAGCAGAATTCTGGGTACAAATTCAGCCCTTGCTCTCGTTCTCTCTCTCTCTCTCTCTCTCTCTCTCTCTCTCTCTCTCTCTCTCTCCCTATCTCTGATACTCTAGCAGTGGTACATTTTGAGGCCTCTCCTCACGTTTCCAAAATTGGTCCCCAAGGTAGAGCTAGTCTTGCTTCCAAAGTTGGTTGAAGAATCAGTCCTCTGCTGCTCCTGTTTCTCGCTGCCACAGGGGGCTGATCCTAAGAACTGAATCTAACCAGTCCCACAGAAGTTTGGTTACTAGACTGTGATGCCCTGGCTGGTCTGGATCCCTGCTAGCCATGCAGTGCCATTATACTTGGGCTTTAAGGCTACAGATATATTAGTCCACAACCAAACATACAGCCATTGTTCTCTAAAGTACTGTATATGTCAGGGTGGTTGGGTCTAGAGGAGCTCCTGGAATCAGCCACAGATACAGATACACACACACACACACACTATATATATATATGAAACCTGCCCTTGCCCCACAAAGACATAGGCCCTTGAGTTGAGTCAGGGGACCCACTTAAACCTTCTTTCTTCAAGATAATCTTATTTTATGGGCTGTGGCGCCTTTCACTGGCACTGGGTCTTGGATAAAGGCCCCTAGCTCACCCTGATATGTGTTCCTAATTCTAAATTTGGAAAGAAGGGGTTGATAATAACTGGTCTCTTAACTCCCAGAAGACCTCTGGGCTTCCTAAGCATATTGGCCTACCTCTTGCCCAACAGTGAGCTCTATACATCAAGAGGTAAGGCAACTTTTGCTAAGTCAGTAAAAAAAAAAATTCTGAAGGTCTTGTTACACTTTTGTGGCATTAAGTATCTACTTACTGTACAATTTCATAATTAGCATGGTTACTCATTTCACTTTGCTAGATAAAGATTAGCTTCTATCCATTAAAAACTGAAATCTTTACCTCACTACACACTTGAAAGAGCTGTACCTTCTTTTGTAGTCAATGGGTTTTAATCAGGGACACACATATGGAGTTTGCACTGTGGGAAGTTTTCTAGTAGGTGGGCAGTTGGATATAGGAGTGTGCCTTGGAGATGATAGATGAAGCCATGGCAATGGATGAGATCCTCTGGGGAGAGTGAGAAGAGAAGAACCTCTGAGGAACATCTCTGGGGAATTAGCCCTGGGAAATACCAACTTTTTAAGAAGTGGGTATGGGAAAGAAACCCATGGAGTAAACCAGGAGAGAAATGGTGTCCTGGAAGCTACGGGAAAAGTGAATTTCAAGGAAGAAGTGCTCAACAGTATCAAATGCAGCAGAGAGGTTCAAGAGGACGAGTACTGAAACATATATCCATTGGGTTTAGTAATTTGGAGGCCAGAGGGGACTTTCTCAAGGGCTGGTTTAGTGGCATGGTGGGGCCAGAAACCAGACTGCAGTGACTTGAGGATAGGAAGTAAGGAGGGGAGAAGGAGCAGAGACTAATCCTTCAAGAAGTTTGTGAAAAGGAGGGGCACCTGGGTGGCTTAGTTAAGTGTCCAACTTTGGCTCACGTCATGATCTCACAGTCTGTGGGTTCAAGCCCTGTGTCAGACTCTGTGCTGATAGCTTGAAGCCTGGAGCCTGCTTCGGATTCCGTGTCTCCCTCTCTCTCTGCCCCTCCCCGAACTTGTGCTCTCTCTCTATCAAAAAAAATAAACATTAAAATTTTTTTTTAAAGTTTGTGAAAAGGAGAAGAGATGTAGGGCTATGGCTGGGAAGACTGGTGGAACTGCAGGAAGGAGGGAGAGAGTTGGTCTTTTCCTTTTCTGGCTCATTGAGGATAGGCAATTCTGTAGTCTGAGTGAAAGCCCATAGAGAGGGAGAGGTTCCATATACAGGAGCAGGACCTAATGGACTGATGCAATGGGGCCTTGGACAAAGAGAGGGACAAGAGTGAGGGTCCAAGAGGAAGTTTTCTCAAGGAAAGGAGCTAAGGCTAAGGGAGGCAGTTGATGTGGGTGAAGTAACTCAGTGGTGGTGCTATGGAGCAAGTGGAATGGGAATCTTATCCTTGCGGATAGGAAAGCTACTGAAGGCATCTGCTGGCTTGACTTGACACAAGATTCTTTTCATTTTTCATAGCATTGACTCGGATCATTTACATGAAGAAACGTTCAGAAAGATGGAAGCTTTAAAAATGAGCAAGCCTGGAATCACCTGGTAGTTTCCAAGGAAAGCCCCTGAATCAGCTGCATATAGACTCCCTCGATCTGCCCCCATCTTTAACAGTTGTGCAATATTCTTGTTCTAAACCTGTTAACCATTGCCAAGGACCCTAGTGTGAAACAAACAGCAGTGATTTCTATTTCTTACATAGAATCATCCACTAAGTAGGATGTGAAAGGCAGAGGCACTTTAGTTCAAATGTCTTCAGCAATAATACCTTACATTTATATGTTGTGTTATAATGTTTACTATGTTCTCACAGAAACCCTCAAAAGTGGGAAGATGAGGCTCAGAGAGGCTGTGACTAGCTCTAGGTCACACAGCTCATTAGTGAGAGAATTGGGACTGGAATCTAGCCAGGTTTTACAATACCCAGACCAGACAGAGAAACAATAGAAAAAGAATGTGAAGGAGTCAACTTAAAGAAACAAGATACTTGAAATGATTAAAGGGCAAGAGAGTATACAAACATATATCTTATGGTGCTGATTTTAAGTAAAACTAATTCACAAAGGAAAGAGTGGAATGAGTTCCATTAATAGGGAAAGGCTTCATGGAGATGCAACTTGATGTGGGCCTTGAGAATGAGCAGGATTGAGATGGGGGGAGATACATAGGCCAGTGGCTGTAAGACTGCAGGCAACAGGGCTGTGTTTGTGAGCCGCTCGCCAAAAGCGCCTACGGAGAGAAAAATGTTTGCATTAGAGTTTCCTGAGCTGTGGCAGTATCTACATTCTAGCTGAGGGTGTTCTCTAGTTTCCAGGCTCAACTCCTTTTCTGAACTTCTAATACCCCATGTGTTTGTTCTTATTCATGGACTCCTATGGCTGACTCACTCCTCATCCGTGACAACAAATTGCATGGCCTAGCATGGATCCTACACAACCCCATGTTTCTCTCTGCCTAGCTTCTACAAAACACCAGATGAGACAAGTGGAGGAAGGGAATGCCAGGCAAAGAAAATAGCACAAAGTCCATGATATAGGAGTTAATGTTGTATGGGATGGGCAGAAAAGTAGGCTGACCTAATTAAGATACACAGGTGTCTCTGGAAGCTACTTGACTAGCTGTGTGACCCTGAACAAGTCAACTTGGATTGTAACAGTTTCTATTTTCTCATCTGTAAAATGGGGATAACTTCACATTAACCTTATATGGCTGTTGTTCCTGATATGGTGCTGACCCACAGTAGGTACTATAATGGTAGCTATTTGTATGAGTGTGTAAATGTGATACAGCTCAGCTGTGTAGTCTTTGAGCTCCCAGATTTTCCTGCTGTGTAGTCAGTGTTAACTGTGCATTTGCACTAAATGTGTGTGCTGGAGACAGTATATCTAGTGGGGGAAGAGACACATAGTGGGAAGTTACTGCCCGCTAGAGGTCTAGCTGCTCCATGTCCTCGTCCATCATCATATGTTGTTCCTTGCTGCCCTGGGAGATGGTAACTTTCGGTCCGGAGACTACATCTGGCCTGAGATGGTCAAAACAGCACTTTGTTTCCAGTTTTCTTAAGTTCTTTCCTTTTAGTTATTTAAAACTTATTTATTGACAATTATTATGTGCCAGGTTTTGTGCTAAGTATTGGCTTTACAGAGATGAATATGCCTTTTCCTGTGCACATCCCCCTCCATCTTCTCTGACTGCCCTGGTCCCTCTGTCAGTCTGGTAAAAATCTGATAAAACTCAGTCACAGTAAGAACTCAGAAATATAATGTTGAATGAAAGATTGCAGAACTCTGTGTGTGGGTCTTTGTGTGTGTGTCCCATTTGTGTATAAAAGGATAAATACACATGTATATGTGTGTGTCCAGAATATGTGTGGAAGAATATATACAGGAAATTGCCAATAGGAGTTATCTCTGTTAAGAGGAATTTGGCAAAAAGGGGCCATTTTTATCTATAGCCCTTTGTTCTACTTGATGTTTTTACCATGTGCATGTATTAATTTTATAATTAATAAGCTTGATGTTAAAAATAAAACTCATTTATACTGAGGAGTTATTTTTCTTCTTTTAAACATGACAGTTGAGAAGAAAATATAGGGCAGACATTTATAAGCATGACAAAAACCCAAAGGAAAAAATGAAAGATTTGATAAAATTGAAATTAAAAATACTTTTATGAGAAAAATACATAAATAAAAGACCAGTGATAAACTGCAAGAACCTATTTGGCATACATATAAAGACAAGGCTAATGTCCATAATATAAATAACAAATCAGCATGAAAAACAAAATGTGAAGGACTCCTACTTCCAGCAATGATGAAGTAACAAAGAATGGACTCATCTTCCCACATTAACAACTCAAAAAATGGGCAAAATATATGAAATAGCAGTTTTCAGACTTCGGTGGAGTTGGGAAAAATAAAAAACAAATAACTAGGTGGTAGTTTGAAACAGAACAATATCAATAAATATATTAATGGTCTCACAGCAACCCAATTAAAAGACTGAGATTGGTAGAATAGAAAATTAGAAAAAAACCTCAACTATATGTTGCCTATAGGAAACCCACTTTAAGTATAAAAACACAAGTAGGTTAAACATAAAAGACAGGGAAAAATACACCATGTTAACATTGATTTTTAAAAAGCTGGCGTGAGTATAGTATTAGAGCAGATTGCAAAACAAAGAATATTACCAGAAATACAGAGGGCTATTTTATAATAATAACGTAGTTAATTCATCATAAGGGCATAACAGTCCTAAAAATACTTGCACCTAAACAACACATTCGAAATACATGAAACAGCAAGGATGTGGAGAAAATACAACTGCCCAGATGGCGGGAACATAAAATGTTACCACCACTTAGGAAAATAGTGGCAGTTTCTTAAAAAGCTAGAGAGAACCTGTCATATCATCCAGCCATTCCACTCCTAGGTATTTATTAATCTAGGAGAAATCAAAGTTTATGTCCATCCAAAGAGTTGTGCATGGATAATCATAGCAGCCCTATCTCTAGTAGCCAGAATTGAAAATGACCCAAATAGCTATCAATTGGTGAACAGAAAAACAAATTGCGGTATATCCATACAATGGAATCCCCCTCTGCAATAAAAAGGAATGAACTATTGATTAAAGCATCTATACGGATGAATCTCAAAGTTATTATGCTGAGGGAATGAAGACCTATAAAAAAGAATACGTATTATATTATTTCCTTATATAACATTTTAGAAAATACAAACTAATCTATCATGATAGAAAGGAGGTCACTTGCTGCCTGGGGCTAGGGTGAGGAGGCAGAGAGGGGCAGGGGAGAGAGAAAGTACTTGAGGAAACTTTTGTGAATCTAAGTATGTTCATTATCTTGTTTGGGTTAATGGGTTCACTGGTAAATACATATGCCAAAACATGTCAAATTGTATACTTTAAACATATGTAGTTTATTTTTGTCAAGGATTTTTCAATAAAGGTGTTAAACTTAAAAAAAAAAAAACAAAATACATGAAACAAAAACTGAGCAAGGAGAAATGGACAAATCCACAATTTTAGTCAGAGACTTCAACATCCTTCTCAATAACTGATAAACTAAGGAGATAGAAAATAAGCAAGAATATATAGATGATTTGAACAACACAAATAATAAATATGACCTAGTTGACACCTAAGCAACACTCAACCCAACAACAGAAAACGTGTTCTTTACAAATGCACATTGACTATTTACCAAGATAGATCAGATCTTGGTCATACAACAAGTCTCAATAAAGTTAAAGGATTCAAGTCATACAAAATATGTTCTCTGACCACAATGGAGGTAAATTAAAAATCAGTAAAAGGAAGATATATGGAAAATTCTCTGAATGTTTGGAAAATAAATAACACACTTCTCAATAATCTATGGCTCAAGAGTAAGTCTCAAGGAAAATTAAAAAGTATTTTAAACAGTGAAATGAAAACAGGAGACAAATTTGTGGGAAATAGCTAGCACAGTGCTTAGAGGGACATTTATAGCACTAAACAGCTATATTAGAAAAAAAAGATCTTGAATCAATGACCTCAGCTTTCACAATAAGAAACTAGAAAAAGATCAAGTTTAATTCAAAGCAAGCAGAATAAAGGAAAACAGCATACATACTTACTGTATTATCCCATTTTAATAAAATTCTAGAAAATTCAAAGTATTCTATAATAGCAGATTAGTGGTTACCTAGCAACGGATTTGGAGAGAGGAAGGGATGCATTATAAAGGGGCACAAAAATATTTGGGGGTGATGGATATGCTCATTATCTTGTTTGTGGTGGTGATTTTAATCAAAATTCATCAAATTATACTTTTTAAATATGTCTAGCTCACTGTATGTGACTTCTACCTGGCTATAACTGTAAACACATGTGTATACGCACACACACACACACATACACAGACACACACACAAGCATATCTGAAAGATTCATTTAAGAACACCTGTTGTCTAACCCCCTTATTGTACAGGTAAGGAACCTAGAGTCCAAACAGGTCAAGATCACACAGCCAATTCATAAGACTGGGATTAGAATTTAAGTATCCTTATTCCTAGCCTGGCTCTTCTTAGTATATCAAAGACAGAGCTCAGATTAAGGGAATAAATTAAATGGTGGGTTTTCAGTGTTTTGTGGCATACCAGTGGGAAAGAGACATGTGCATGAAAAGGAGTGACTTTCCCAGGATTCTTTCAGTGATGTGCTAGAACTAGCCAGTAGTGGCATTACTTTATAGTATGGTATTTCTATTTCTAATATTTTGAGCAACCTCCATACTGTTTCCAAAGTGGCTGCACCAATTTACATTCCCCAACAAGGCATGAGGGTTCCTTTTTATCCACATCCTTCCCAACACTTCTTGTTTCTTATCTTTTTGAGCCTAGCCATTCTGACAGGTGTAAGTTGGTATCTTGTGATTTTGATTTGCATTGCCCTGATGATGAGTGATTTTGAGCATATATTCATATGCCTGTTGGCCATCTGCATGTCTTCTTTGGAAAAATGTCTATTCAGTTTCTCTGCCCATTTTTAATCAGATAATTTGGTTTTTTGTGTGTTCAGTTGTATAAGTTCTTTATATATTTTGGACATTAACTCCTTAACAGATATATCATTTGCAAATATCTTCTCCCATACAGTAGGTTGCCTTTTAGTTTGGTGATACTTTCCTTCACTGTGCAATGCTTTTTATTTCAGTGTAGTCCAATAGTTTATTTTTTGCTTTTGTTTCCCTTGCTTGAGGAGATATATCTAGAAAAATGATGCTAAGGCTGATGTTAAATAGATTACTATCTATGTTTTCTTCTATGATTTTTATGGTTTCATGTCTCAACATTTAGGTCCTTAATCTATTTTGAGTTTATTTTTGTGTATGGTGTGAGACAATGGTCCAGTTTCATTCTTTTGCATATAACTTCCCAGTTTTCCCAACACCATTTATTGAAGAGACTTTTTTTCCATTGTATATTTTTGACTCCTTTATCATAGATTAATTGACACATATAGGCATGAGCTTATTTCTGGCCTATCTATTTTGTTCCATTGATCTACATGTCTATTTTTGTGCCAGTACCATACTGTTTTGATTACTACAGCTTTGTATTATAGTTTGATATCTGGGATTGTGATGCTTCCAGCTTTATTCTTCTTCCTCATGATTGCTTTGGATATTTAGAGTCTTTTGTGGTTTCATACAAATTTTAATATTATTTGTTTTAGTTCTGTGGAAAATACTGGTAGTATTTTAATAAGGATTGCCTTGAATCTGTAGATTACTTTGGGTAGTGTGGACATTTTAACAATATTAATTCTTCCAATCCATGAGCATGGTATGTTTTTCCATTTGTGTTGTCTCCAATTTCTTTCATCAATGTTTATAGATTCAGAGTACATGTCTTTAACCTCCTTGGTTAAGTTTATTCCTGGGTATTTTATTATTTTTGGTGCATTACAGATTGAATTTTTATCTTAATTTCTCCTTCTACTACTTTGATATTAGTATGGAAATGCAACAGATTTCTATATGTTAAGTTTGTATCCTACAACTTTACTGAATTCATTTGTTACTTCTAGTAGTTTTCTGGTGGAATATTTAGGGTTTTCTATGTATTATATTTTCTTGTTTAATTCTATGAAGTAGATGTTTTTTCATGTTATATGTGAGATGCAGAGTGTGAAGTAATTTGCCAAAGTTCCCATAGGTAGTAAGTGGCAGAGCCAAAATTCAAACTTGTCTGACCCCAAAATCTGTGTTGTTAACAATCATACTCTGTCTAGGGTTAGAGAAAGAAGGAAGCAGATGTAAAAGAATAATTATTATTTCATTCAACAAATGTATATGTACTTTCTCTGATTTGCTGGACCAATGGGGTATAAAAAATGAATATGCACAGTCATTGCACTTAACATTATTATAATTGAACAGAGAGGATACATCCACTGTTCTAATAGATCTAATAGAAGGCATAGTTGAATCTGGATGATAATATAATGATAATAGCTATCGATTATTGAGAACATACTATATGTCAGGCACTATGCTAATACATTCTTTTTTTTTTCAATATATGAAGTTTATTCTCAAATTGATTTCCATACAACACCCAGTGCTCATCTCAAAAGGTGCCCTCCTCAATACCCATCAACCACCCTCCCCTCCCTCCCACCCCCCATCAACCCTCAGTTTGTTCTCAGTTTTTAAGAGTCTCTTATGCTTTGGCTCTCTTCCACTCTAACTTCTTTTTTTTTCCTTCCCCTCCCCCATGGGTTTCTGTTAAGTTTCTCAGAATCCACATAAGAGTGAAACCATATGGTATCTGTCTTTCTCTGTATGGTTTATTTCACTTAGCATAACACTCTCCAGTTCCATCCATGTTGCTACAAAGGGCCATATTTTCATTCTTTCTCATTGCCACGTAGTACTCCATTGTGTATATAAACCACAATTTCTTTATCCATTCATCAGTTGGTGGACATTGAGGCTCTTTCCATAATTTGGCTATTGTTGAGAGTGCTGCTATAAACAT